ATATTCAGGTCCTTTGGCTTCCCTCTCTTTATCAGCTTCATTAGATTTATGTGCGTCAACTGGATTCATAATATCATCATGGTGATTTGCATTATTTGCGTTATCCACTTTAGCTCGTTTCTTCAAGGATTGCCCTTCAATCTCTGGGCACCAGGTTCTCACATGACGTTGAAGGTCATGATTGTTTTCAAACATAATACCACACTCGTCACAGGAAGGCATGGTCTCGTCTTCCGACTCCACAGTGTTCTCAGCTAGTTCGGAGATGTTCTCCGTTTGAGTTTCTGGTGTGAAATGGTGCGGGGGTTCAGGCTGCTTCCCTTTTATAGCTGTGCTATGTGGTGTTCTCTGACTTATAGGTTCAGTCTGTGGTATGAACTGTTGGCTTGTGTTAGGCGACCTCTCGACTACAGGCTTGTTCTCATTCCAGCTCATTGTTGGTATAGGCTTCTCTTGATCTAACCTGGCTAATATATTTGACTGTAACCTGTTTGCTTCCAGCGTGATAGGACGTAAGTCAATGGTTAGATTTCCATATGGCTTTTGGACAGCTGATTCATATGCTGACATGAACCTATCAGAATTATTAGGATAGATGAGTCTGGCAAACAAGTGAACTTGATATCGATCCACAGGAGAGTTAAATAAAGTCACGTAATAAGAATTTAGAGCAATGTCACGTGATTCCTTCCCTCTAGGAAACAAATTTTGTAATAACAAGAAGATAATAACATTCTTGTGATGAGAGTTTCGTGTGAACAGCTGTGAGATACGGTTGTCATCTTTAGCCTTGGCCATTTGGTCATCCAAAACAATCATATTGTTGTTTCTAGCATCCAAGAAGTCATCGTCGGTAATATTGTATGGAATTCCCTTCATGATATATGGTAAGCTTAGGTTGAATTAACCCTTGCAATAACGTCTTATATACAAATACACTCTTGCCACTCCCACTTGGACCAACGATCACTGCATTAGACGGGATTGTAAACGTGAACGCTTCATTTGAACTTCGCTGCTGCTGCGGCGGCGGTGTCACAGGTGACAAACCATGAATATGTCTTTTATGACGAAGTAAGACATCTCTTCTTGAAAATGTCTTGTCACATTCTGAACATGATGTTGACTCCATGACAGTCTATATCCAACTGACACTGTTATTATACAAAGTTTTGTTTTATATAACAGGTTAATCTGCTGCAGAGAATATGTACACTATCATTGTAGTTCTTCTTTTTTTTTTTACAAGATGGGACCGTTATCCACATTAATATTGGGGGCAGCTGAATCTCCAGCTCATTGACGGAATGATGGTCTTGCTCCAAATGAGTGACGTATGGCATTGTCTGTTCCTTATATAGCTTGCAGGTCAGCCTCTTGGATCCAGCTGTTAAACTGTTTTGAGTAGCCCATCCATTTGACTAATACCTCCTTTCTGCCCGTTCTCTTCCTCTTTTTCAATACTTTCTCTACCCGCCACATAGCATCTTCAGGTTTATGCACTTTCGTAACTCATTCCCATTGAAACTCCCTGTCACAGGGTCATCTGCCATATCTTTCACACGATATACAGGTATACCCCCTCTATAATAGTGTCTGTAAATAATAAAAATCTCCTCTGTCCATTTCTCTTCATAATCCCTTTGAAATACATGTTTCAAATGAGACAGTCTCACTTGATCACCTAGTTTGAACTTGGATGGTTTCTTTCTTTGCCTTGGGTGATATTTAGGTTTTACAGATTTTTTCAATGGGTCAATATATTGTTCTGTCCATACCTTAGCCTCATTCTCTGGTGTTATTTCAGTAGGCGCACGCTCTCTCAATGATCTGTGAGGTCTATTGTTGTAGTCGTTTACCAAATCTTGTAAAATGTTTAAATAATGATAGGTCTGTTGGTAAGTAAAATACCTATACATGGTTGTCTTAAGAGTTCGCATAAGAAGCTTTGGTTTCATTCTGTGTCACATAATAAGCGATGCCTTTTGTTTAAAAAAGGATTTCACTTTCCTGTTGTTAAACTCACCCCCTTTATCTGATCGAATAATATTAGGTAAATCTGCCTGAACAAATATCTTTTTCAAAGCTTTGATGACACTATCAGGGGTTTTATTTTTCAATGGTTCAACCCACAAATACCGAGTAAAAATGTTAATTACGTACAATGAGTAAATATTTAAACCCATCATTGTCTGCAGCGATATTAGATACATCTGCTAAGTCTATATCCCATCTGTCATTCATTCCAGTAGCCACGACGCTATTCCTTTTGAATTTATACCTCAATGGTCGCTGTAACGTGTAAGCGTCTTGAGAAGCAAGATACTTCTTAATGTGATGTAAGCTGATATCAAATTTTCCCTCTTTCTTGACAATATGATAAAGCTTAGTTGGTCCGGAAAAGGAGCCTGGGTGTTTCGGGTCATAATAGATGTTAGACAAATACACTTTCCAACCGTCTGCTGGCATGGTTCAGTTGTACTGAACCCAATTCAATGCACACACCACTTATGTAAAGTCAACTTATGTCTCGCATTCAGAGGATAAGCGAAGTTAAAACAACTGGTACATACTCCCGGCTATCTATCTGGAAGAGTTCATTCTAACCGTCTCCACTTACAACGCGTATAATAACACTGCTTTGCACTGATCCCCATAGAAAGGGGTGACAGGTTGTTGAATGACATACAGTGTCCTATAGCTAGTGCCGCGATTATAGTGAATTACCCCCTACGCGATAAACCAGTCCATTCAAGCGCGCTTTCATTGGCTGGAGGCGTGACATGTTGAGACACGCACGGCTAGGACTAACTCGTTTTATACACATAGCGAGGTTCCCTTGTTTAGAGTTATATGGTTAGCCTCGTTTAACTATATCTTTCGTTAAATTCATGATCATTTCCACGCTTATTATTGTTTTCCCTTACACATATACATTTGATATATTGACTCAAGCAAAAACAGTTCAAGATAATGCTGATACACGATCGACACGTCACACATCTATTTTTAGCACGAGGGCATTCCCCTGTTACTATAAATAATGAAAATCCCTCAACTCCCCCGACTTCCGGTCCAGAACGCCCTTTTTACTATCATCATCTCTCGACGCCTCATCTGAACGTAATTATTATTCCCCGTTTAAATCTTTACTAAATGTAAACAGCTATTTAACTTGTGACTTTGTCTCTTATCAACGGAAAATATTAACCATGTTTCGGTGTAAAACTTCACACTTGCTGCTCAATGCGGCCGCCATACCAAGACTCCTTATAGGGGACGCTTCTGTTTATTCTGCCATGCTGGAGGCAGGTACTGTTGATACGTGTCAGCTATATTCCCAACCGAGAAGATAGTGTTTCGCTAATTATCTCATAAATCCACAAATAACTGCAACCTTCGTAAGACTTATGTCAACCGACAATATCCATAACATTATATATTTGAGTAAATTCCTGTGTCAAGTACGAAAGACAAGAAGAAAATCACCTATCCCTGTAAAATAAAGTCCAGCCGTTTATTCAGCATGTTCATTTAATTATTTTTACATCTTGTCTGTATTATGGGCCTCGGGCCTAAAGTACTGAAGAAAGTATGCCTGTCAGTTATGCTACAACATAATTTTCAAAAGATCTAAGCAAGTTAAAGAAAAAAATGAAAATGTGGACTTTCCCCAACTGAAGAACCGTGACCTTGTCAACTACCCTGCTAAGACTCACTTGCAGGCATACTACCTTCAATTCGCAAGACGTTAGCTAGCATATCGCTAATGAACATTTGACTATTACTGCGTACTTTCATCGGTACAGTGCGTGAAGGTCCAACTTGCTAACCCTTCTACAGTAGGGCTGGAATATGATTAACGTGGTGTGAAACTCACTTATTCACGGTCCCACCCCAATATTACGTGAAGTCTCAGAGAATTAAGTGAGAGCGGAATGAACGGCATGAGAATGAACCCGAAGTGGCTGGATTCCTGTCAGTTGAATGTGAACTGCTAGAAGTAGATACCTGTGATCTGGCGTTTACTCACGTGAAATGTTTGGTCGTTTAAAGACATGCGGTTTTTCCAAGGCTTTACGGCAGATAAAAGTTGGACCTGACGTGGCCTGTTGTTCTGGTCGATTGCATTATCGGCAGTTGAAACACGTCACACAGCCAACGTGATCCAGAACGTGAGCCAACCATAGGCCTCTGTTGCAACAGATAAAACGCTGCCCAGGTACTTGGTTTCATAACACAGACACCATGCATAGATCAATTGCATGGATCAAATATCTGAACCCTGACACAACCCCAACCTTCTGACGCTGATCCACATTCCTGTGGGGATTGGGATATAGATTAGGACCCGGTTGTAGGGAAACTGTGCGAATTAATGGCTACAATAAACACTATCTGATATATAATTTCTTACTGTATAGTGAGCTAATGGAATTATGTCAATCGACTGAATGGAACTTTCATTATCTCATCATTAACTGAGGATGCCTTAATGTGATATGAAGCGTTCAACCATTGTTTGCTGCCAAGTTAATAACTCGCTGATAACAGCAGAACGTCATTAAAACCTAATGTTTTAGCTACTAAACCAGATATAGAATCATTTTAAGCCTGTTTTATACAAGAAAAATACCTTGCAACAACGTAATTTCTGTGACGGTCAATTTCTCCTTTTTTTATAAAGCATAATTTTTTTTTCAAGAATGTTTGGGGACAATTTCTTTTTTTCGATAAAATCCCAGCCCACCCCGACCCCCTCTCAGAATATCAAATCGGCGGTCCCTTAGTTAATTGAGGTTTAATGACACGTTAATAGATCATTAAAGTTTGATACAAATGGGTCCTATCCTAGTCAGACGGCCGTGAGAGGGGCTCCTGATAGCAGTCACTGGTTTAGCCGGTCCATATTCGATTGCCCACTGGACGCCATGGTATACCTACATGTATTCTCTCACTCACTCACTTGTGTAAATGTGTCATCTTTCGTCTCTATTCGCAGATAACACGAACTGAAAGTTTTAGCCAAATATTTATTGGAATAAAGAGTATAAAAGATTACAAAAAATGACGGTAGAGAAACCTTTTGTTTTTAAATAATATACTGTTTCTATAAATATCACCGGGTGTTTCGAAAACCCTGAGCATCCCTCTCCATACCCCCTGCTTGGTGCTCATGCTGTGGGGCATCGGTTGCCCTGCTTGTACACCAACCAGGCATGGTGACGTTATCAGACAGGGTACAACGTCTCCCAGCTACACGGACACAACAAATATGATAATTGAGACAGGAAAACATGCCTGTACGTGCATTATAAGTGTGAAAATTGTGATGAGACTGCGAGGTAGATCCTGACTTGTACATTATCTGGACCCATGATGCCAATGGCTAAATATCACTGTGGTGAAAGGACGGTGTAGTGTGTGGAACCCAGTGTTTATCCCTTGACATGTGAGGATGACCGTCACACTCTCTCCTAATTGAAGCCCATGAGGGGATATATGAAGGTCTATGACCTTCCTTGACCAGGTCGGCCACTGTGGTCCGAGGATGACCGTCATACGTTCTCCCAGTCGAAGCCCAGGATGCTGATGACGTCCAGCCGCTCCATGTCCTTCAGTTTGATGACCAGGTCGGCAACACTGGTCCGAGGATGAGTTGAGACCCATTCGTTCAGCAGAGCCCCGCATGGGTCTCGGGGGCAACGGAATGTGATCAGATCAACCTCGTGTGATGTCTTTCCAAGCATTCCTAACACAAGAGAAATACATATTTATGCATATATTTATGTATCCACACACATACACATATGTTATCGTACAAATCAGCGATATATCGTTAATTGTTATCATGTTGTCTTATGGTTATCTGGGTAACGGGGCAACTGCGCCCATGTAATTACGAAAATTGCCTATCGGAAATCAGTTATACCAACATGATAGCTAACAATGTTAAAAGGAAATTTCTACCTGCCAGGTATCGCCAGTCTTTACCCAGGGCATTAGGAATATTGAGGTAGTCGCATACCCGTCCTGTCACAGTGTAGGGGAGATCGCTCAGTTGTGTTGTCATTTTGCAGCCGTCAGGAGAAAATACTTGCCGCTCTTGCCCGAGCAGAAGTGATGCCTACAATAACATTAAGTATTAAACCATAAGTAAACTTATCAATTTCTCATTGTTAGTTACTTATTCTGAACGTGAAAAAAAGCTCTTATAAAAAACTACAGTACTTGAAATAAAAGTGTGCATAAGGATATAAATTCATTGGAAGCAGGACAAATGTCACAAAGGATTGGATTATAAGTAAGACTAATAAGCTATCACATGCTTGGAGTTTTGGCTGAGGAGCTGTTACCTTGCCATTTCTGATAGCCACCTTTCTACCGCGACACCAATAGTGTTTTGTCATGAGCCTCTGGTTGTTCGTGTCTTCATCGTGAAAGTCATCGTCTCCAAGTGACAGGATGTGAAAGCCTGTCTGCAATAGACATGTCATATTTGTCAATATTCTTCGAATGTTTACTCATATGTAAAGAAAAATGTACATGATGATATGCCCACATAAGAAGTCAATTGACATCACATAACATATAGAGAATCTCGCGCATGTGTCTTTTGATATTAAATATCGTGAGTCAAATTAAAAACTTCACATTTTAAAAGTAATCCCATATATGATATACAACGGACAAATGTATCAGAGAAGGTAATTTTTAATAATTGATGTCCAAAGAAGGATTTTAATTAACGGTAGTAACCATAATTTGTTCCAAGCACCTACGGCATTCGGTAATAACATCAACAGTTTAAATCATAAGTCCCGAGCACGAGAATCTGATGGCACACAAGTCTAGTAGCGTGTATGGTCACCATGTGCGTTGACAACTGCCACAGAACGCCTCCGCATGGACCTTGTGATGCTTGTGAACACATGACGACGCCATTGTTGCTGCAAAATGGTGCCAAGATCTTGCAAATTCAATGGTTGGTTCTGGAGAGTGCGCAGACTTCTGCCAAGAGCATCCCAGATGTGTTCGATGGGATTGAGATTGGGAGACCTTGACGGCCAGTCCATGACGTTGACTCCCGCATTCTGAAGGGAAATCCTTGTCAAAATTGCTGTGTAGGGTCTGGCATTGTCGTGTTGGAAGATCAAACCGAGTCCATGTGCTGCCATAAAAGGCAGAAGTTCTGGTGCCAGTACCTGGTCGCGGTAAGCAGCAGCGTTGAGGTTGCCACGGATGACAAGAAGCCTGGAACGTGCATTGCAACAGAAAGCACCCCAAACCATGACACTTCCGCCTCGAAATCTGTCAACTTCCTGGGCGTAACGTTCATGACGGCGCCTCCACACTCTCGCCCTACCATCAGCAAATCGAAGATTAAATCGGGATTCATCACTGAAGACGACTTGATTCCAATTCCTCTGTGTCCATCGTAAGTGTCGCTGTGCCCACAATTGACTTTGACGTCTGTGTAATTGAGTCAGAATCGGCCCGCAGTATGGCCGTCGTGCTTGAAGGTGAGCAGTTCTCAGACGGTTTCGAACAGTTTGCGCACTCAGTCTACCCCTAAACAGTTCATTTCTGGTTGATGTTGCCGTCAAAAATCGGTTACGGAGGTGACGTAAGACAATCTGACGATCCTCTGCATGTGACGTCACACGTGGTCGACCTGGCCGAGGGCGATCAGCGGTGGTACCCGTTTGCTGTAGACGCGTCTGTAAATCATAAACAGTCCGTCGACTACAACCCATCGTCCTTGCGACTTCAGCTACGGACGTTCCCGTCTGCAACATGCCGATGGCACGTTCACGTTGCACATTTGAAAGGCGTGGCATGACAAATGGCCGTAAAGACTTTTGTTTTCTTGTGTTTTTCTTTTTTTGTAAATTATTATGGCCACGTGACCAGTTGCACGTGAAAACCCGCTTTTGCAACTATAGTGCTGTGCATATGATTTTGATCGATTCACCTGCACAAAAACGGGTGTTATGTGAAGACAATACGTGGCCATTATTGTTTAAATACACAATAAGGGCCCACAATGATAACTGGTCAAAATGTTAAAATTTTAGGATTGTGAAGTTTTTAATTTGGTTCAGTATATATCAACATGAGTTGATAAAAGTGGAAAAAATCCGAAGTTTGCAGAGGAGTATTTTTCCACTTTTATCAACTAATGTTGATATATTTGATATCAAAAGACACATGCGTGAGATTTTATTTATCATCAGACATCATTCTTCCAACTTTTTCAGTTTGTAGACAGTAATAAGCAGTGTCTTAAGTGTACAAAGTACTGCTAACTCACTCAGTAGCAGAGCCATTAGTGATGTCATTTGATTGTGACGTCATGGTTGTGATGCAATTTCATTGCAGCGATATCTACAATGTAGATATCACTTGATCTCACCCAAGCGATATCTCCCATGGGAGCCAGTTTTGGATGATAAATATATTTATCATATAATGGGTAGGTTTCTCGGCAGGATAAAGCCAGCGAATAAAAACGATATTCATTGGGGTCATATGCAGATAGAGATGCAAATATCAAAGGTCAAGTAGGGACTACTTTCAGTGTTTATAAACAAACACGGCGTCGCCCTTGTCATCCGGCGATCGAGTCAGAATTAACCATCGGGGATTTGGATAAACTACAGGGATAATTGCTATCATTATCAAAAGAACATTCAATATATGGACAATCCGTGTCTAACTGTGACGTAGCTAAGGCATTATATAAGTTTTGGCAACTTTGGAGATTTCGACAACAACGTCTGAACGTGGCCGTGACGTCTCATAGACTAGGGATAGAGTACCTTCCCTTTGACAAAGGGCAGTTACTCTTGCGGACAGACCAATGGATTGCCGCGAAAGACAAGTAAAAACAATTGTTGTTTTGCATATATATTGCTTCGACACTGTATGAGAAACAGATTTCAGTTGGAACTATATTGGCCACTGTCCGACTGACACATCACTTACCCTGTGAGTAATAAATATTAATGCGCACATTCCAGGAAAACTCGCAATGTTTCGGTAATGTTTGTGAGAAAGGGAAAGCGATTTCAAGCACAGAATTAAAGAATGACATCAAATGATAAAGAGGTTATCAAGCTTGTGTGTTTGGGGATGGTAAATATCCTGTATTAGGAATAAACATATATGCTACATAACTTGAGGTACCTGATGTTTCATGTCCTGATGAGGTGGTTCGCATGGACATTCAACCCCTAGCTTCAGTTTGCATTTGGCAAAATCTCTTTTCACGATTCTTGTTAAAAGCTCCCAGAGAAGATTTAACATTTTGGTATAATCAACTCCAGTCTCACAACGTATAACAATCCTGAGGAACTGCTTGTCGGGTGTTGGCAGAGACCCAGCATCAAAGCCACTGGACATGCTACATTTGGCTTGAGGAGATTCGTCTTGATATTTTGGAGTACTAGAATCTAGCATCTCCAACTTATAGCTGAACATGTCCCTGTAAGAAAAGAGTGCCTTCGTCTGACACGCGTTAAGGACTATGATCTGGTCGTCGGATATAATACTGTCATCAAATGCAGCACATCTGCATACAAGTCTGAGAAATGCTGAGCGTGGAAGAGCAGGCACACACTGAACAAAAAAGATGTGATCTTTGCTTGTATCAGGCCAGTAATTATCTGGGAAAGGAAGAACCTTAGGAAGCAACGCTGGAATGAGAAAAAGCCGATCTTGCATCGCCTGACCTGGTTTTGTTTGTATCTTGCACAAGAGATTGAAGCTTTCTAACAAATACACTGCTTTCTCAAATCCCCCAAAGATATTGGCAGATGGCATATTTTCTCTGAATAGTTTCTCGGTACATATCCCAAATGTTTCCAAACGTTCCCAGTCCTCAAGTATGTGTCTTTCACGATGAGACATCTTTGGCACTGTTATTAATTGACTTAAGATTTTCACAATCACATGGGGATTGAATATGATGAACTCACGCAGGATATTGTCTTTTGAAATGTAGAGTATTTCTCCTGTATTTGAGAAGAACTTCAGTAGCTCCTCAAAATCTTCTTCCGACTCAATAAGACAATCATTTTCTTTACAAATCCTATAAACATCTTCATATTTCTTGATAAGTATCTGTTCCTTTCGAAAATTCTCTATTAACTTGAAGAAGTAGAAGTATTTTAAAGGATATTTCGTAACATTAATATATCTTACTTCTCTCAATATTCTGCTTCTAAGATTCAAATGATCGCTATCTTTATCATTTCTTACAGAATTTTCCACAGGGAAGAGAGGAGTGTCATCTTCATTCCACACCACAATGTTGTGAAACTGCCTAGGCAATGCTTCCTTCAGTCTGTGGCCTAGTTTCATGATCACAGATTGGTTGAGGGATGGGTCATTTCTGTGAGTACCAATAATGAAGACTCTGATGTCTGGGTAATCATGATGGACATAGATAGAATAAAGCCATTGGAGAAGGTATGCAAAAGCTAAGTCAAAGTCTTTAGTGGCATCCAGCATATTGAAGACGAGAAGGTACATGCACTGCCCAGTCATGTAAAGGTGATGAGCTGTGTAGTAGAGGGGATGACCAGCGAAGTCACGCAGCACCAGTTTTAGACTAGTATTAAATACTCGAGCCCCAATAACCTTACTTGGATTCTTAACAGGACACAAAGCTTTAGTCCGTGTTGCCAAGCTATTTAATATTTCAATAGTTGCTACAACGGACAAGGACATGAAAACATAATCCCATGAGATGACTGACAGGTTCCAATTGAATAGATAGATCATAAACAATCCTGGTGTGGCTCCAAGGAAGTGACGAATAAATCGACGACATCTGGGACTGTCTGTGATTCTTTTGATATTTGTGTTTAAGATATAGTAGGTATTTTGTCCAGCTGAGAGCCCAACTCCATGGAAATGCCCCGTACCTAATCCACACATTAAGAGAAAGGCATAGTCTTCAGGTAGGGCATGTATTGCTATGGCTAAAAGTGGAGCTATAACATATAACAACACAGACCTGTAGTTGACAGATCCAAGTCCTACGTAACACCCAAAGATGAACATGTGGAGATGTGGAGACAGGAATAATTGAGATGGGTTTTCACCTGTAGTTTGAGGTGGGTGAGCCAGGCAGAAGGTGCAGACAATACCTACTCCAAGTGACATTCCAAAAGAAAATGCTACACATGTTTCGCCAATACCGTAACATAAAAATCCCATGAAAATTGCACACGTTGAACCAAATTCGGATTTCAACTTTTTGAAGACCGTCCCGCCAACATCCCATCTTAACAGTGCCTCACATAGAAGGACTTGGTGGAATATTCCTACTGCAATTCCAAATCCTTCTCGTGTCCCAAAGGCAAGTCCGGAAGCACAAAACAGTCCAATCACAACGATTCCAACCCAGGGATATCCCTTCAAGCCTTCCAGTGAGACAGCAGAGAGGTACAAACCAAGAATAAGATAAGTCACAGCCGCAATTTTAGCAAAGCACACTACTGGTGCTACAACCTTTTCAATGCTGATTCTTGAAGCCTTTTTCTTTAATCTTTTAAGCACATGTTTCCCGATGATAACATCAAACTCTTTCTCGTTTGCCATGTGCATATCCAGCTGAGACCAGGATGACTCCGGTTGTACCCCACAAGTTTCCACCAGCTCATGATCAATGCCAACTGTGCTTTCCTCATTCTCACTGAACTCCTGCCATGCCAACATCTTCCTGAGGCTGGTTTTGCCCTGCCTCTCCCTGCCCACGATGTTGAGGATGACTCTGTAGGACTGGTCCTTGTCCTCTCGGAGAGCCTCCTGCTCTGCCTGGCTGCCCTCTGGCCCCATGATGTACTCCATGCCTGGGGTGATGCCCATCTGGTAGATGGCTTGATTCTCTGCCATCATTCATTGTAAACGTCCCAAGCTAGTCTTGTAAGGTAACCTGAAATACATAATAGTAGTAGAGACGTAATGATAATCTAAGTAAAATTAGCTGCAAAATGAATGTATTGATAAAATTGTTCATGGATTGTGAATCCATATTGTGTTTTAGTTACTCATATATACTGAACCGCAAAAGAAACATTGCATGAAAAGTTGTCATTTAAATATCTCGGTAATTTTTGTCAAAGTTTCTAAAATTTTACATTACCTTGTCCGGAAGAATGAAATTTGATTATAAAAAACAAAGCAGATGACAATAAAACTGATCGCCCAAACGCATCACGGCAACGGCCATAGTAACCCGATGCACGTGAGTTCCGTGCAAATTGAAATGCACACGCGTTCCCCCATTTCTTGCCCTATTAAAATCCACCCAGATCGGATAAAGTTAATTCGTTATTGAATTGCTACCACATGCAAAGATTGACAAGAAATCAGCGACACCACAGCCTTGGACGATTGCAAGCTGGACAAACCGCCCGTCAAGTAGCCAATGCATTTCAAGTCCAGGTAAGGACCATATACAGGCTTCAGCAACGGTACCAGACCACCAACACTACAGATGACCAACCACGTGATGGAAGACCAAGGGTCATGACCCGACGTCATGATCGTCAGATTGTGCGACAGCATCTTCAAGATCACTTTGTTACTGCTGCGGAAACTGCTCGACAGACCATGGGGACACACCAGCGACACTTTAGTGCGGACACCGTGCATCGACGATTGACGAGCAGACACCTCCACTGTCACAGGCCACACCGAAAACCTATTCTGACACCACGTCATCACTGGGACCGTCGTCAGTGGGCAACACAGCACCAGCATTGGCACCACCAGCAGTGGAGAAGATCCCTCTTCTCAGACGAGAGCCGTTACTGTATCTCAACACTAGATGGCAGAGAGAGAGTGTCTCGCGACGCCGTGGAGAACGTTATTCGGATGCTTGTGTTGTTGAGAGAGACTCGTGGGTCGGTCCGAGCATCATGGTGTGGGATATAATTGGTCTTGCACAGAGGGTCGGCCACGTGGTCTTCCAGAACATCGGTCCAGGGAGAGGCAATAGTGTCACAGCAGCTCGGTACATTGATCAAGTCTTGGGAACACACGCCATACCTCATTTGGCACGTCGCCGCAACCACAGTTTCAGCATGATAACGCCCGTGCCCACACTGCGAGAGCAATAAGAGACTTCCCCCAGCAGAATGGCATCAGAACCGTGCAGTGGCCTGCCTCAGTCCCGTTTTAAATCCCATTGAGCACCTGTGGGAGGAGATTCAAAGACGGCTGAATGACGTGAGCTGAACTGCATCAGGCGTTCCCCAGTGAGTGAGTGAGTGAGTTGGGTTTAACGCCGCTTTTAACGTTATTCCAGTTATATCACGGCGTGTCAGCTTAATGTGGGAGGAAAGCCCGAAGTCATGCAGGTCACAGGCGTTTACCACTTCGGTGAAACCCACGAGCACGGGCATGGTGCTGACAAACCTAGAAACATAATTGGGGCGAACTGGGATTCGAACCCACAAACATAGGTTTCTGGCGTGCCCAAGGGACGCAACTCTGCACAGCGAATCACGGCGCCTTAGACGACTGGGCCATCCGTGCCCCCCGCGTTCCTCAGAGTGTGGGCTCAAGTGCCTATGGCCTTCATCAACCGCCTCATCCATTCCATGTATCGACGTTGCACGGCAGTCATCAATGCACGTGTCGGACACACGAGATACTGACTTGTGATGCCATTTTCGCAGAGACTAGTGTTGTGTTTCACCTTAAGAACATTTGACACTTTAATTTCAACCTTGATGATCAGTTTTGCCAAGTTTCATCTTTTTAACGTGTCTCAAAGTTTGTTTACAGTGTTTGGACAAATAAGGTTTCTCACGTTTCTTTTGCGGTTCAGTATACATTGATAGTCAGCTGTCAGAGGCTACTACAAAAGAAGTTTCGATTTTTGGCAAGACGCAAGCATGGCGTTACGAAACAACTGATACCACTGACCACCCAAATGCGTTAGAAAACCAAATAGATATACTTGGAACTGGTGGTAATGTAAGTAATACATCTTCCAGCAGTCATACCATTCATGATGTGGAAAAACCAAATCCACTGGGTATTCTAATATTAAATCTAAATGTGTGTGGGTTGCGCAATCGTCTTAATTATCCTGATTTTGTTAGCCTAATACAACAAGGAGATAGTGTCTGCTTTCAAGAGACAAATTTGCATATTAATGGATACAAGGTATCCATGCAACATAGATCAAATGCCCGAAGGAGATGAGGTGGTGCTTGCAGTTGCTGTAAGAGACATGTATGCTGATTATTAATCAATTTTAGAATTTGGCAACGATTTTGTATTATTGTTTAAATTATCCAAATATTTGTAAAATCTGATGAGGACCTTATTATTGGTGGTGTCTATATCCCCTATATGGGTAAAAATATTCACCACAGAGGAGTCAGCAGTTTTAAGCACATTGTCCCAATCAGAATCATATTAGGTGATTTCAATGCCCGTTCGAGTGGATTGCTCGACTGTCAAATTATATTGACAAACATTTTAAGGAAGAATTTGGTTTAGACTATGATGATTTGAAAACAGAAGCTGACCCTGAAACTGTATTAGACAGTCTACCATCTTAGTCTACGATAAGAAAGCTGCATAATGGATAAAGGTAGAACGAATGATCATGGCGAAATATTTATTAATCTGTGTAAGAACGTAAACACGAGCGAATGGGAAAGGTAAACATGTTGGAAAAGTTACACGTAAAGATAATAAAGGCCTTATTGATTATGTTATTGCCGCTCCTAAGTGTTTACACATGTTCTTTGAATATGAAGTGCGTGATTTGTCACCACTATATTCAGACGTTCATTGCCCGATATCACTTTCATTGTTAAATAATAGAGAGGTGGATATTTCCAACTCTCACCCAGGAAACAATGCTGTAAGTAATGTGAACAAAGAGGAAATGCACCCAAAAGCTAAGCATTGTAAACTTGATATGGGTAAAACATTTCCAATAATATTGATACTGAATGTGTTGGAAAGCTGTGTCACAGATCTGACGTGGTCAGTGAAATTGAAGCTGGTGATGACCTCGCACGGGAAGTCAACAATATTGCTCCCGGTATCGCGCACGTGATGCAGCATGCAAAACGTTTGCTGTAAGAAAAGGTAACTCCACGGGATTATGTCATGCTGGACGTACTAGACGTAACACGTAGCCATGAGAAAACATTATTGTGGAGCCAAAAAGCGATACAACAAACATAAGATTCCAGTTAATCACACTTACTACTACCATCAAGCAATATTATATTAAAAATGTCTTGCTAAACATTCCAGAATGCAACAAAACTGAACTAGTAATATCTTAAGGCAACAATATAAATACTCGCCAAAAGAGTTTTGGAAAGTTTTGAATTGTGAAAATGAAAATCATACGAAATCCTGACCAAGAATTGATTTTTTTGTAATTCTTTTCAAAAACTTAAAAGAATGTTAGCACCCCGACGATGGTTCCCCCGATGTCATTTATGATTATTATGATACTAATGCACTTAGTAAAGATATAACATCAGAAGAAGCATGTAATGCCACAAAGCGACTGAAACGTAACAAATCAACAGCACTGATTAAATAGAAAATGATAGAAAATGATAATCTTATTGATTCCTTTGAAATCTCTGCACCACTTTATGTTTCACATTTCAATCTTGTTTATTCCACAGGAATAATCCCCGAATCATGGTTGACCGGTATAAGACCCATTTAAACGAAAAAAGGTCACTCTACTGATCCCAATTCATTTATGACTATTACAATATTAATCTGCTTTGGCAAATTATTCACTGATTTTAATAATATTTTTGTCTTACATATGCTTTTGTAAAATACTAAAATGCTCTAATCGTAAATTCTATTGTGCCTTTATTGATTTCTCAAAAGCTTTTGATAATGTCTTGAGGGTAGGCATTTGGCAAAAAATACTGAAGTATAGTATTAATGATAAATTCTTTAATTTAGCTACTGATGTGTATGATACTATCAAACAATATGTTATACATAACAATTTTGTATCTGAATTCTTCTCTAGTTACTCTGGTGTAAGACAGGGTGAAAATCTCTTCATTTTCAACATTTCTTAGTTACTTAGAATGTCATCTTTAAACAAAGGTTGTGACGGTGTCAATATTACATGTACAGAACATGAATTCATTGCGCTGTGCTCACTGTTCATAATTCTCTTATACGCAGATGATACAGTTTTAACGGGTGATGATCCATAGAAGTTGCAATCAGTTTAAGATGCTATTCATGATTATTGTTCAGTCTGGAAACTGGATGTTAATATAGCGAAAACTAAAATTGTCATCTTTGGTAGCGGCCCAAGTAGTAAGTCTAACTCGTCTGGTCAACAGACTATTGAAATCGTAGATAGATATACTTATCTCGGTATTATACTCCGCAGAAACAGAAGACAAGCTTTCAATTAAAAATCTAATTACTAGTGCAACAAAAGCAATGTATGTTCTTATTTTTCCTTGAGACTGGGTTTTAAAAGCGTTTGATGTTATGATATCACCAATTCTTCTGTATGGCTCTGAAGTTTTGGGTTACGAAGGAGTGGAACCCATTGAAAAGATACATCTAAAAAAATTAAAATGGCATCAACCCCAAAGAAAGAATAATTATTTTGTTGGCACAAACTGGAAATTCATGATAACCCTGTTAATTTATCCCAGTATGTTACTAGCTTTATCAAAATAAATAACTCTCTAAATCCAAGAGATAATAGCAGGTCGAAAATAATCATGATGGAATACTATGTGCAATAGTTTAAACTTACTACAGATTACTTAAATCTGTCCCATCCTTTGAAAAGATTATCTCCTCCTCCCAAGAGACAATATCTTTCCCGCTTCTAACTTTCAGAACCTGTAACCATAATGTACCCGTTGAGGCTGGCCGCTGGCTTGGTATCCCCAGAGA